TCCAATTGATGCGGAAAAGTGCCACCAAGTCATTTTTTAATTAAAATAAAAAGAGAAAGAAATAAAAATATCGCCCGTGGAATTTTTGTTTTAGTCTCTAAAATTAATCCTTCGTAAATAACAATATGATTAATCAAAAATTATTGGGATGAACTTTTAACCAATCATCTTTATATTTGTATCATCAGTTAAAATGCAATCAGCCTTCTCAGAATATTATCATCTTTAAAATCCTCAATGAAACACACAAACTGAGATAAATGTTGCAAAATTTTCTCTGCGTTTTAAATACTAAAATAATATTTTGATGGCACCATGAGAATTCCATCCACGAAAACTTCACCTCGTCAATTCCAACAATAAAACTTTCATCCACAAAATTTCATCGAAGCAATTTTAAATTGCATAAGGTTTTTCCCAGCTATGGGTTAAATAGCAAGATTCTCTATATTTGGGTGACATCCAGTCTAAGAGAATAAAAACTCCGAATTTGAAACAATGGAGAAGGTAACAGGAAAGCTTTCTATTATCTTTCCCAAGAAATCATGTCAAATCGCGGATCAAGAAAATGTTAAGAATCTGTAGAGATCCATGATCGCCTACGTCCTTTTATTAAATTTTAAAATGTCATAACGTTTTCATCAAAACATTTTTAACATTTGTAAATTTTAAATTTTTTTTTTGAAATATACAAAAAAACAAATTACTTTTTTAAATGTAAAAAATCAAAAAGAAAAGTAAATTCAGATTATAAGTAATTAAAAAAATAAACTATATTTGTTTTTTTTAATTGAAATTACAAACTTTATTAATCTTCCTAAAGCGATTTACGAGTCATTTGTTTTGTTTTCGAATTATTTCACCGTATGCCACTAAGACGCAAAAACATTACTTTGAATGAAAACACTTTTCTAGAAAGGACAAATAAAAAAACACATTTTTTGAAGACATGAAAATGGTAAAATATGCGTTATTATTAAAATTTTGTAGTTAGCAGGGAATCCAGAAATCGGAATCCACGGGCGAGAAATGTGAGAAAAGAAACTATTTGAATAGAACTTCCGATTATATCTAATATGTTCAACAATCTAATTTGCCAATCTGATAGTACGCTTAAATTCATGCAATCCTATTTGTCTATAAGAAATATAATCAATGTTGCCATGAAAATATTTATAGAATGGACAGAGAAAAGCCACTAATCATTTGGGATACTGATATTGTTTTACAGTTTTTTTCATATATTAAATTATCTTTTAAAAAATAGTCTGCGTATATAAACAGATATATACAAAAATAAGAAAATATTAAAATATTGACCAAAAAATTGTTTAAGTTCTTGAAATAAGTTTTATAGTTGAAATGTTTTTATAAAGTATTCTAAACCATTTTTCTTCCTTTCTGCTCATCTAAATAACGACGACCATTTATAAAACACATTCTTTTGAATAAGCTCATTGAAAGAAAGTTCTTTTTTTTTTGTCAACCACATTAGCTTATGAAACAGAGATTCGTTTTGAAATAAAGGAAGAGATTTTGTTTATTCGCTTACTATTCCATACACATCCGCAGGCGATAACTTGTAATATATAAATTTAATGAATATTCAGTCGATAATAATTATATTAATGGGTCTGTTTTTCCGTTCTAAATTTATATCAGTGAAGACGTGATGATATTATGGAAAGGGCGGGGAGTAAATAGTTCTAATTTTTGCAAAGATGTAAAATTTTACATCATATATTACCACTTAAGTATATATATGAACTAATATATTAGCATTGAAAAAATATTTCATAGTATATAACGTTTTCTGACGGACTGGATTTTCTTCTTGGCAAGATTTACTGCTTCTTTGCCGGTGTTGGAATCAATAAACGATATATCATTTGACATTGTAGCAATAATAGTTTTCAGTTTTTTTTAATGGACACCTAGACCTTCTTACACAATTACTTTACTTAAATATCGAGTCAATCTTTCTGTTCGATTGTTTTCGTTTCTTTTCGGATTCTATAATTTTTACTTTTTACAGGCTTTCTTTGTCCATTTATTCTCATATAGACTTTTTTTTACCTTTAATATTTTTTATATTCTTTTATTTTTATTTTTTCCTCAGTTTTTTTAAATTTTATTTCTTTATTTAAAATTATTTTTAAATAATGTTTCATTCTTTTATTCTGTATTTTCATATTCTCTTATGCGATATTGATATGAGAAATAATTTTTTCGTCGATCATTTGTTTTCTTGCTCGCTTATTTAACATTTTATTCGTCTTTCATTTTATTTTATTTATTTATCGGTGTTTTTTTATATTTTTATTCTGTTTTTAATTAAGACTAGCTTATTCGTATTTATATTCTTTGCGTTTTACTTTATTTCTTGATATTTTGTTCTTTTCTTATTCTACGTTTAGCCATTTTTTCATCCATATGTATTTGCTTTTTACGAGTATTTTTGTTCGTTCGTTTTTATAATCTCTTATTCTTCGTTTTTATAATCTCATATTCTTCGTTTTTATAATCTTGATATTCTTCGTTTTTTATAATCTCTTATTCTTCGTTTTTTCTTCTTCGTTTTTTATAATCTCTTATTCTTCGTTTTTATAATCTCTTATTCTTCGTTTTTATAATCTCTTATTCTTCGTTTTTATAATCTCTTATTCTTCGTTTTTATAATCTCTTATTCTTCGTTTTTATAATCTCTTATTCTTCGTTTTTATAATCTCTTATTCTTCGTTTTTATAATCTCTTATTCTTCGTTTTTAATCTCTTATTCTTATTTTAAATTTTATTCTTTATATGCTCCTTTCAAAGTATTTTTTTTGTTTATTTTATGTTATACTACTATTCAATTATTTTGTTTTTCATTTCAGATATATATATATATATATATATATATATATATATATATATATATTTTATATATAAATATGCATAGAGATAGACGGAAAAAAAGTATCCATAGGCATGCAAATGTGGCTTTTACGAAATTAGGGTAGATCTGGAATGAGGACTTCAGAAATGATATTTTGCAAGAAAAAGTAAATAAAATTCAATCTTAGTCTAACCAGATTTATCTATCTACATATATATATATATATATATATATATATATATATATATATATATATTATTATCTTTTTAAAATATTTTCCATCGCATACAGAAATTTCTGTTTCAAAACTATAAACTAAAATTATATATATTTATATTATATATATATATATATATTTGTGTGTGTGTGTGAGAGGGAGAGAGAATGTGTGTCTCTGTCCTCTCTCTATATCTGTATTTTTAATATAGTTTCTGTTAATACGTTATTTTTATAGATACAGTTATTTAAGTAAATTCTGTGTTCATAATTAACAGTATTAATTACATTTACCGACCTGAATGTTTCAAACAGGGTGAATTATGTCTATGGGCCTTCGCATTCGGGAGACTAAATAAATAATGTGCTCTCTGTACATACACAAACACATATATATATATATATGTTTTTATTACATCGAGCACTGTTTTATTAACACCAACATATATATATATATATATATATATATATATATATATATATATATATATATATATATATATATATATATATATATACATATTTCAAGTAAAAACAGTGTTCGATAATAAAAAACAGTGTTAAAAGTATATATTAATAATTATACTTATTATCTCTCACCGATAGCACGACTCGGACTTCCATGCACAACGCAATCTTCAGGTACGGACTGAAAAAGTTTCCAATTAGTACGTGAAGTTTACTGCGAGCATGAAACAGTGTTGTACGAAACGGTGAGAAAAAATGTTTATTTATTATTAATAGTTTAAATTTCATCTCTGTTATTTTACATTGAACACTTTCATTACCACCAGCACAGATTATGCAATATTATGTACTTGTATTCGTATATTTATGAAGAAAAAAGGAAAAGTTTTCTTTTGTAACGCATTTCATAAAAAATGTATATTTTCTTCAACTTTACTTTTGTTTATAAATACATGTTGCAAAATAAATTTCTTATATTTACTTTGATAACGTCCCTCAGCGGATGAAACGCGTTGGTAAAGAAAAATTTTCCTATTTTATTTATATCTGCATTTTTACACATATATATGTACATATGTATACATGAGTGGATAATAAAAAAAGATTTCAGCTAGACATTTTTCTAAAATCCTTATTTTGTATATTTGGCCACTGAAATACAGATAAGAAGAGTGCAAGATTTTATCGCGAATTGGGAAAGCACGAGTAGCCTTCAAAATCTTTGCTTTTTACTGCACTTGAACACTGACCACTGCTACTAGTGGGAGAAAATGCTACTTCTTCAATGTTTTTAGACTCATCAAAATTCAGCCATATCTCCCTAAACCAGTCTGTTTATATTGATATCTGTTCATATATGTTTATTGCGGTTTGATCAAACTTTTAGTCAACATCTATCTGAATATATTCACACCTCTCAATCTTCCTCCCTTTTTTTTTCACTTCTGTATATTAAATACAAGGTCTATCCGCAAAATATCTCGACTGCCATTCTTTGTTTTTTGTGTAGGTTCTCTTTATTTGCAAAACATCGCATCACCCAGATCTGTCGCTGCTCAACCCCAACCACCCATATAAACACACACACACACACGGTTCAGATTTAGCTTCATATGATAGCTTTTTTTCTTTTTTTTTTTTTTGAGCTAAAATTGTTAAATGAAGGTAATTTTAGACCGTGGATGAGATCAAGGAGAAAACGGCGAAGCAACTTGTACATTAAAGGGGTTTTTGCAGTCTGCTTTGAAAATGAGAAAATCCGTGTCTGAAGCCGCAACGAAAATACTTTGAAGCACACTAAAGCGTCTAAATGATTCAAAATCTAAATTTACCATTCACCGAGCACTCAAGAACTCGTATTTTAACCGAGACGTGTTGTAGATTGGATCCTTTTAAAATAATATCAAAAAGCTGGAATATTTCCAGGGGTATCTTCTAGTAATGTCATGTCATATCTATCTATCTATCTATCTATCTATCTATCTATCTATCTATCTATCTGTATCTCTCTCAATATATCCAGTGACGGATTTCGATCTGGCCGATCCACTGCCGACGTCCTAACTACCATTACGCACTGAATTAGTAAAGTTCTTGACGACAATCATACCTCAAGGAACATAGCATTAAATATCTCGAAGGCCTTAGACACAAAGGTTTATGGCACAAAGGTTTGCAAAAAACAAGGTCTCCAACTACGAAATTACTGGGAGAGTCTCCTGGTTTATAAAATCCTTCCTAACAGGTGGTTATTAACGGCCAGTCCTCCGGAGTCCTGACGTCAACGCAGGCGTCCCTCAGGAATCAATTCCCGGACCAACCCTCTTGTTGAATTACATTAATGATCTACCTCAAAATATACTCCGATCACTACAACCTTAAACTGTTCAAGTCTAGGTTTAACCGTTGTCTCTCCCTCCTATTCCCATAAACTCCCTCTTAACAAATGGCACCGGGCTTCTATACGGTGAATCTTACATTAAAATAAATGTTTCTATCAATTTCTCTATCTCAGCTTCTTCATATATATATATATATATATATATATATATATATATATATATATATATATATATATATATCGAGATATTCTGACCTGATACTTTTCTGACCTTCCTTTATTAAGACTCTCCACCGGTTTATTGCATAATGAGAAAAAAATCCCTAATTATAAAGACTAACCGTTGTATTAGGAACCTAAGTGTAGCTATTTAGCTAGCTTACTGGTTCACTTTGTAATAATCTTTTTTTTTTATAGTAAATCTTCTAACTTCACTTCTTAAATTTTGATATGTCAGCTTATTTGCATCTGAATATTAGCTATTTTCAGATCATTCAACACTTTGGTAACAATTTTGGTCATCAATACATCATATAATCAACTTTGTCTCTACGGCTTGGTGGCCAAAATAGTTGCATAATTCCCATCAGCGCAAATAAAAAATCAAGATTTCAAATGCGGATTTTTTTTTTAGCAGTTATTGCTTATACATCAACTTATTTATGGAATCACCGGAAAAGTCTTCTCAATAAGCGATAAGTCTCTGAAAACAGTTATTAACGGCCAATCCTCCCGATGCCCTAGCAATCAACGCAGGCGTCCCTCAGGGGTCACTTCTCATACCAACCTTCTTTTTACTTTACATAAATGATCAGCCGAGGAATATCTATACCGATGAAACGATGATATATGGGTGCACCTCCAAATTTCGTGGTGACCAAAGATTTAGCTTTAACATATCAATGCGGGGGGGTGAAACAGGCTGGTTACAATCAATGCCGCGAAAACAAAACTAGTTACATTCCATCATCACCGATTCGACCCCCCCCCCCGAACTATCACCAGTTATGCTGAATGAGTGTCGCACACCCTTCAGGAGGATCAGTGCCTTGAACAACTATTGGACCTTGAAATCATCCCAGACCTCAAGTGGAACGTATATATATATATATATATATATATATAGGATCCATCGCTAAAGGTGCCAGAAAAGTAGCCGTTTCCCTGTACCGCTCCAGTGCAACCCTCTTGCCTTACAAGGGCCAGATCCGAAATGGAGTACTGCTGGCATATTTGGTAGGAACTGCAAAGTCCTTACATTCCAGTCTCAATTTTCCAGGCCAAAAGCCTCTCTGCCTCTTTATGGGTGACAAATTATTTTCCATCTTGCAACCCCCCTCATCTCTGACGAGCGGGATGTGACAGAACTCACACTACTCTATCGCTAATTTTCATAGAAAGTGATCGGGTGAACTGAATTTCCTGGTTTCGCCAGTTCTAACCTTCAAGGACAAAACCCACCCTGCCACGTAGCCCATTGTAGCGAACCATTCCTCATTCCCCCCCCCGTATTCCACTGGTGGGAAGTAAGTTCCACTTGAGCAGCTTCTTCCTGCGAATCATTGTTCTGTGGAACCGAATGTTTCCCCGATCACAACAATCTTAACCTGTTCAAGTCTAGGGTTAACCGTTATCTTCCCCACCAACCCGCATAAATTGTACCTCTTACTCTGTAACCGTCTACCTCGACTGGCATAGGGGCCTTGTACAAGGTGAACCTCTTTGTAAATAAAAGTTAGTTTAGTACAATATACACAAGTATGGAGCGCCCACAAAGAGCTGAAGTTATTACAGTAATAAAGAATTAAGAGACTCACTTTCCTTTTCTCGGGCAGATACTCACATATTGCGTTTGCATTATTTTATTTTTTTTACGGGACTGCAATAATAAGGTGCCAAGCTAGCTAACTATTCTCACGCTCGTCAGCAAGGTTAACCTGTTAACTATCGCTCCCCAATAAGCGTTCTTAGATTAGCTTTGTTTAGTCTTAAATAAAAATGCAACTGTTGGATACTGAAGTAAAAAAAAAAAAAAAAACGAATTTCATTCAGTTCTGTGATACTATTACACTGAGGTTATAGATAAAGATTAAAAAACGAACGAGTTTCAAGAAAAACCGGATACAAAAACATTCGAGGAAAGACAAAAAAATATTGGCTGAAAGGTTAGGATTAAAATAACAAATGTGATGATGCTCGTCCGAAAATTCGGGATTTGTTATAGCAATGTTTTAATTAAATTAGATGAGACAGATATCTCTGCTGATGCAAATTCTAGACTCTTGCAACTTTTCTGGGTTTTTTTTGTTTTTTTTGTTTTTGGTTTTTTTGTTGTTGTTTTTTCCTGAGATAGACATCAGTGTATATATAATTACCCCAAACACATCATCATCATCAAACAAAATCTTGACCCTTTGTCATTGTTTCGGGCCCAGGACACCAAAAGACTGAGCTTGTGAAGGATTTTTAATTAAAATCAACTATTATCATTTGACAATATTTACCCGGCTATATATTAAAACGTTATGAAAACAATTGGAAGGACGTCCATAACTGTTCGTACTTGTAACTGACAGAAGCTGAAAACTGATCCCCAAAACGTTAATGATAATATTTTCCTTATGAGGAGAGAAAGTACTTAATTGCCGCATGTTTAGTCTCTGCTACGTTACCGGCAAAAATAATAAAGCGAAACACCAATGAAATCAATCGTCTGAGAAGTTACCCATCATTCATCTCAGGGTTTTTTTTTATCTCTCTTGTAGGAGAGTTCGTGAGAAAGGGAGGAAATCGGCCAAGAATTAATAACTTAAATATGTCACCTTGATGTGCATGATTTTATCAAAAGCCGATGAATAGACTTTAACTTCCCTGGAATTTGCACAACTTGGAAGTAGATTTTAATGCATTTCTTTTAATTCGCAAATAAAACAATGGATTCTTAAAGCAAAAAAAGGGAAGGTTTTACCTATCGCTGAAGACAGCTTGGCTTGTTAGATGATATTTACTTGGGGAAAAATTAGTCTGACAAAAGGCCAGCTAAGTTGGAGATATTCTAAAATGTGATAACTGCTTTAGATTTTGTAGTTGTTAACATTAATCACTAAGTATATTTTCCCATAAACAAATAAAAAATAGGACGATATTATTATACTGATGAAAAAACATTAACTGCTACACAGTTATCTTACGATACGCGGATCAATTGAATGATGCAAATAACATTTTTGTGTCAATAATAAATAAACACTATGCTGTTCAGTGACAATAAATAAAGGCTAGCATATTGCAATGATTGTTAAAAAAGGAAAGGGCTAAAGTGAGATTCAAGGAATACGTTTGACTAGAAATACTGTATCTCGTAACAGTTCTTCAAAATGTTTGACGAGAAATATTGTGTCTCATAAAAACATTTCAAAATAATTGAGTAGTCACATGGTGTTTCGTAAAAGATATTCGATTTTTTTTTTTACTAAAAACACATTGTCTCTTAAAACATCTTTAAATCTTTATCGGCAAGCACTATATTTCGTGATAGCTATTTAAAATGTTTGACTAATAGTGGGTAAATATTTGACTTTCGTTTCTTGTAGGTTTTGATACAAGATGCACAAAGAAACAAGACATTCTCTTAGTGCTTCATAATGTTCTACATTATAGAAAAATAAAATATCATATATATATATATATATATATATATATATATATATATGAACAAAATAAACGTCATTTTTTTTTTATACCTTTAGGATCCTTTCGACCAACGCCCTTTCAAAAGGTATTCGTTGGCGATATATTTTTTCGCTTTTCGTTGTGTAACAGTCACTTTTAAATTTGCATGATGATCACTTAGTTGTTGTTCTTACAGGGAGACAAGCAAATTTTGACCATCAATCAAACGCATGCAAAATTAAGAAGTGACTGCTACACACCGAAAGTCGAAAAAACCTGCGTCTACTTTGGACTTTTAAGATTTCTTCACAATTGAAATCCACCCGGTGATTTCTTGAAGATTATTAATGTCTTGATTAAGTTTGTATATCGGCAACGAATACCATTTGAAAAGTTGTTGGTCGAAAGGATCCTAAAGATTTAAAAAAAAAATGACGTTTATTTTGTTCAAATCTATGTTTTATTTCTGTGGGCAAAAGTCCTTGTATATATATATATATATATATATATATATATATATATACTGGACACCCTCCGGCCATTTTCAACGAATGAGCAGAAACTCAGTTCTTAGAATAGAAAAGTCGGATATGTTTTAATTATAGCGGTGAAAGCTTGTGCAGAACAAACCATACTCTTTGGAAGAGATGAATACAGGGAATCGGAGTACATAGATAGTGCACCACTAGCGAACCTCCTCACGCAGACTCATATATATATATATATATATATATATATATATATATCTGTGTGTGTGTTACAAAATGGAAAAGGTTTCATTTGACATGTTTTGCTCTTTAGGACTTCATCGGATTAAATTTATGCTTCTATTATCACAAATTGGGATATTTAATAACAAACTTAATGGGGAATATAAACAAAAAGAAAAATAATCAAAATTAAATCGTATAGATTATAGACTCAAAACATATTCATAAAAAATTAATTTAAATCTCTCAGCGCTCCTTTTTCCGACGTGAATGTAAAAATTAAATCTTAATTTATTGACAGAAATCATCATTATCTGTAAACAAATTCAATTTTTACTATC